CACTCAAACTGAAGGCAAATTCGGTTCAAGAAAAGACAACTTCCTGATAAGTAAATACGAATTAAGTTGAGTGTATTCGATATTCCACTTTTTAGTCAGACTGACTCGAAAAATGACAAAATGAGGTCATCCAGAATGATTGATTTTCGTCTTATACAATGATCTAACAAAGGATACTGTGTATTTTCATGCAAAACGGATGGTTTTACACCCCACTCATCGAAAAGTGATCCAAATGTTTCGATCCTCTTTTATAATTTACAAGTCACTATCTGTTTAGAGTTAAGCTTATCCGGCCACTCTAACAGAAGCTTTTAGTATCGGCTTTAGGCTTTAGGATGCCGTTAGTTGAGGCACTGTTTGCCTGGTAAAAACTGCGGTTCAGGCCTCATTTCCGTTGATGGAAAATGTTGCATATTAGGATTTCGCTTGTCACGCAAGCAAAATGCTTCTGGTTCCGTGGGATTGTTTCTGGGTACGGTACTTCAATAATGTTCCGCCTGGTTGGAAACAAATTTAAATGATGTGCCCACCTTCGATATAGACATATAGCTGTGCTTCATTATGTCAACTTAGTTTTAAACACCTTTTGATCAAAGTTTTGAAATGTCGAATATGATTTAAGCCACAGTAAATGATGAGAGGGGAGGAATTCACCAAGAATCGAAGCATGATGAGCACAGAAGTTATACCATTGGCGAGCGTGTGGGCGATTAGACGAGTTGACATCCGGTAGTGCACACCCATCATTGAAGAAGTTGCTTGGATTGTGAGCCACCCACTCATGCTCGCTCCGCTCCGAAACTACTCATCACACCATTTCATCACATAGACTGACGAAGCTTTTGTGTCCAAAGAAAAACATTGCGTGGCAAAAAATCCATCATTTGTTTACGAAACCTTCCTGGATTAACGATTCGTCGACCAGTCTCAAACATTTTACACATAAATTAGCAGTTTCTTCGTTTTAAAGAAAGCAGTCTGCTTTAAAAAACAATCTGAGAGTTCCCATTTAAAGAAAGAGGCGCTCTTGCTATCATGACTTTTGATTCCTAAGAAGTGATCTTAGTTACCCGAGTCCCCAATCGTTCTATTCGTAACCTTTTGGCAGTTGTCAAAGAGAATTTAGGTAATCTTGACTACGGCGCTCAGCAGCCAATCTCTGTGGCTTACGCTAGTTAACTGGGAGTTCTGGATATAAATCCCGACACTCGCTGAGTGTCTTCCCCATTCTCCGAAAGTGCGGCTGGACAGTTAATTCAGATTTGGTTTTCTGACGGACTCAGTCGGATAAATTCTACCATAACATAGGTGCCGTACCACACAAGCCTTAATTAATAGTACTAAATCGTAAACGAGTGATTCGGCCGAGTCACCTCTTCAAACCGAATTAACGTGCAACTCAGTGTATTCCGCAAATTTCGCACAATATACGTTCCAGTGGGATATGTAGTTGTCAGAAGGCCGGGAAATGTGCCTAACTGATGAGCCCCAAGAAGGGAGAAACCGGTCGTGGTCTGTCAGAGTTTCCAGTGGCCCTGACATATCATGACATGGCTGTGACAAATAAAAAATGAGGCAACCTGTGTGCAGCTCGTTCAACTGAAGGCGACAGAAATTCAGCGAAGATTCGGTTGAGACCTCCTTTAAAGTCAAATCAGTGTGAAAAGGAGCGTAAAGTGAGCGTGTGTGGAGATTTTGGAATTTTCAATGAAAATTCATTCTGTAAGTGAAACCAATCCAAAGTGAAAGACCAAGAAGCACTGCACAGCTGTTTCATCTTTTTGGGAACGATCAATAGTGCGCGTCGGTTGATACTCTAGGGAGTCCGCGACCTGTCGGCCAGCAGTGAGATTAACTTTCAAAAGTAATACAATCACTCGTCATTCCTTTCTGGAATTTCATGTGCTATGCAATGCTGATGATTCCCAGTAGGGATAAAACAGATACATAGTACTATCCGGCTTTTCAATAGACGTCGAATTATCCATAAAAATGGGCGAATTTAGCAAATGGTATAGTTGTTTTGAACCCCTTTGATGTTGTCAGCCATACGAATTCTAGTAATAACATTTGCCACTCAAAATGGCTCGGGGTACAGAGCTCTGATACTATGGAACTGACAAGGTACTTACTGCGTGGTACTCATGATTTCTAGATCAAGCGGATGTCTACACAGAGTTGAATATGAAAGCCGGTTTTCTGAAAGCAAGGTCATTTTCGAGGCGGTTGTCGTCAAAGTCTCTATTCAAGAAGTTGCAGTTTTCCACTGAAAATGCGGATGAATTCGGTTTTCATCAACTTTAATGAAGTTTTAGAGTGAGCAACCGGCAAGCACGTGGTGAATACCGTAGATCAACACCCATGTCATTCTGAGCTTGCCCAGTAGGCGTACTGAATTCCAGCACATCGTCTACCCCAACCAACACGTCGAGCTATCAATCCAACAGTGACCGGGTACAAAGTTTTGTTGTGATTAGATGCATAAAATATACTACACAACCTCAGTTTCGCACTTTTTGTGAGGAAATGAGATGTTTGATGTGGGTACGCTATGCAGCTTTGTTGTTCAGCTTGACCAGGGGCTCCATTCGATTACTGGGCCTCAAGTCACCAATAGTTGTTTGATGGTACTGACATGTTCGGGTCTACCTAGCTGCTCGATTTCGGTAAATTTATATCCGTGGTCAATGCTGGTTTAGTGAACCACTGGAGTAGCTGTCTGAATTCAACATAACTATCCGAACTAGTTGGGAAAATGGAAATCGACAGAAATGATGATCTGAGGCAGAACCGTGCTATAATCATGAATTTTGGTTAACGGAAGTCAACATCTCAGTGTATAGTGGACTTTTATGAGACAGCTCACCGGCTTTATCCTGGGTGCAGATTTCTCGCCCGAGAAATGACCACACCATCTGAAAGTAGCATGAGGTTGCCAAAAACCATTCAGCGTCAACCCAATAAGTAGTTTGTTGAGCTTAGGTAATGTATTTCAATATCTCCAACATGTACCATTCGAAAGATAAGTTTCCGTGGTGCAATACAGAAGCGGACCGTTGTAAACGGGATAACCAGCTGCATCCAGTTAAGTCCCCTGTCGACATCAAATTTGTGTGTCGATGACCACATCTCAATCTTCAGTCATACACGAAAAAACAGTTGACCATTTAGGAGCGTAGGGGCGACGATGAGACCTTATCAAACTGTCGATAGCTTGTGAAATATCTCATCCTACATTGTTCTACCGAAATAGAATACACGAACACCTGTTACAGTACAACAAACAAGACTTCCAGCACATCCATTCACATAAGGAATGGAAGTAGCACGAATGTACAGGAAGTCAAATAGCAAATTTTGATTAGTTTAGCACTCCACAGTCGTTTTTTACTGCTATCAGACATCTGAACCCAGCAGTGATTTACACTCAACAATGGCAATTTTTCGCCTCGACTTGTCTGCCTAATTTTAGCCACTCGACCGTGATAATATTTCACCCAGTTTGACATTAGTCTAGACCGAGTTTCCCCTACAACTGTCATCTCATGCGTGTGGACGTTGCAGGCATTGTGTGTATCCCATGCTAGCGCAAAAATCTAACGAAGAAACTAATGCAGGAAGCATGTGATTGACTGAATGGTCTTCATAACAACTTGTTTCGTCTCCATGCATCTAAACATTGAACCAGGCACGAACAAAAATGATCAGCTTGGGAATGTTCAGTGCACCATCTGGAAGAGCTCGCTACTAAGGTCAGCTTTGGCTATCACATTACCAATTGCTAGGACGGGTTTTGACGGCTTGTGCATATTGCCCGGGAGGCAAATTGATCCCACTTGGGAGATGCACCAGATAGTGTTTAAAAATCCGCGTTTCTTCTCGGCAATGGACCTTTCAACTAATCGGTGAAAGGCACCAGTTCCAGAGTTCGTCGCTACTTCCTGAGGGTTTTCGTTAAGTTTGACTTTAAGAATTTGTCAAGGAAACTACTTATAGGCCCCGGTCGTGGTTAGTAGAAGAGTTTTCGGTAACGTTATGAGAGGTTTCTTTCCGAAAAATACACTGCGATATCTCGAATATCGTAACAACTGAAACATGAGGCGGCCTTTATGCGGCACAATCAGCTGAAGGAGAACACCATAAATGGGAGATTCAGCTGGGAGAGGCGGCCTTATGCGGCACAATCAGCTGAAGGAGAACACCATAAATGGGAGATTCAGCTGGGATTCAGGCGAGCCACCTGGAAAAACTAAATGGTACTCTACTGGTTGAGGTGTTATATTTTGCTTGGCTTTGTATGATACTTCGTTCTAATAAAACCCTGAAACTCCGCAAGGTGTTCCGTCTTGAGTGAAATCGTGACTTTATCCTGATACATGTGTTTCACCATATGACCTGTGAACTCCTGCAAACCAATCACTAATTAGATTAGAATCACGGTGGAAAATTTAGGAAGCGAGATCTGTTTGCCACTACTGTACGGAACTTAAAGTGCCATAGAGTGACGTGCAGGGGGGAATTCATTACTCACTGAAAAATCATTGAAACTCAACTAAAGGTTTGCTAACGGAAGTTCTGTGCGTTTCTGATAACATCCTGAACTGTGGTTTGGAAAGTGTTGTCGAATTTGCGCAGCAGCGACCACAAAAAGAGTTTTAATCCCTTTTTGGATACATAGCGTAAGCGTTTTTGGCTGACGAAAATAGCTAGTGTGTCAAGCCCAACTGTAGGCCACTTTTGGCAGTATCCCAAGATTCGTCCATTATTTTTGGTGAATTGCATCTGTGATCCATCCTTTTAAAAGACGAGTCCATCCATCGATCCCTGTTGAACTTTCTGTACCAGCGGGAAGAAAGATGTGCAGATAACAAATAGCAGTGTGGCACAGGACATTCATTTGTACTGACGACTGTCCTATTAGAGAACGATAACCATACCTACTACTGCCCACTTTACGTGTTTGCATGTAGTCACTGTCTCCTCTGTGTTGATTTCAGCTCATGGAAGCCAATCACAGATTGAACTGCAAGTGTCACGGTGTGAGCGGGAGCTGCGCACAGCGCGTCTGCTTCCGACAGTTGCGTCGCATTGATGACGCAGTCATGCAGCTGCCCACTTTACGTGTTTGCATGTAGTCACTGTCTCCTCTGTGTTGATTTCAGCTCATGGAAGCCAATCACAGATTGAACTGCAAGTGTCACGGTGTGAGCGGGAGCTGCGCACAGCGCGTCTGCTTCCGACAGTTGCGTCGCATTGATGACGCAGTCATGCAGAAAGCTTTGAAGGCTCGTTATCTGGTAAGTTCGATGTGTAAACGGCTAGATGGGGATTATTTCACTCTAGTCAATAGAAGTATTCCGTGCGCGTAACCAGGTGATAATTCGTAGCAAACTTACCGAGGGCTGGCAGGACGCAATGTGCAGCTGATCTAAACCAGTAACACAAGGGTGAACAATTTGGTGGATAAATTGTCTGCTGCAGGTTTAGTAGACATAGCCGCGGTTGACCAACAACTGGCAATATTTCGCAGGGTTCTCAGCCTAAAAGAAAGTCGATTGAAATCGTAATGTGTAGTTTCGAACGGCAAAATCTGAGGGGATTTACGTAACCAGGCCTGTGAAATCAGAATTTCCAAATCTGTCAGTGCGGACTATGTTTTTTACACCAGCCTAGAAGGAGCGACAAACATGTAGGTGAAGTAGGTCCTCACACGAGGTGAATGATACTGGTGCTGCTCTTGTTAAACTAATGACTACCTAGTTTGAAAGTAGGGATCACAACCGTATTCGTGCTTGCTCAATTGCCGCGTGTTCTGGTATGCAACGAAAAGTTTCCACGCTGAACAGCACTCACTAGTTTTACAGGATTATTGATCTGAAACATACAATACGTCCAACCGCATTGACGGCGATGGCACCACCCGAATTACTGACCCAAACGACTGTCTAAATGCCACTGGCATCCTAGAATACCTGCTAAAATAGTAAAAGACGACTGATTGGTTCTTAGCTCCTTGAATGGTTCATCACTGAACTCTGTTTCGTGGTGCAAAAATTCTAATGATCTGAATCATTCTCGGACACTGTTCGAAATTGTCCGATCTGATGTAGGAGGCAATAGTCATCAATCCATGCTTATTTTCAACTAGATCATGGATCATCGAAACAAGTCTGTTCGCCTATGTGATATTCTAGGCTTGCTTTTATCGAGGGGGAAGTGACTGGTTGAAGCTTTGGCCTTATTAAGGCTCATCAGTAGAGTGTAAAATCAAATTCTTGTGGCTTGAAACCGGGTAAACTGCCGTTCAAAACGAGCTCAGTCAGCGAAACTTGGACGCACTAGAACTACCCCGTTCATGTCTGAAACTGGCGGTTCGGACAAGAAACCGACGGTGGAGGAAACCAGCGAGTTCCCTCACGGTTCTTTGGTCAGGTGGTTGTGAGCATTGTATACGTGGAAACGAATGATTCATAATTTAGGACTTATGTAGCTCTTTGTTTCTATCACTCTCTTTTTCACCTACACAGTCAACCTCCGTCTCCTTTAAACCTCACTCTATTGTCTTTATTCAGGCTGCAAAGCATGTTTCTGTGGGTCCAAACAAACAACTGATTGCGAAAACACTCACTGCATCAGGATTTGTGGACGAAGTTGTCAAGGCCTCGGAGCTCGTGTTCAGTGAACACTCTCCGGACTATTGCAATAAAGAACCGCATAGGGGATCTGTTGGCACACATGGTCGGTATGTGACTGTAGTATTGTAATTTGATTCGTCCCGCAAGCAAATTACGGCCCCATGTTAAACTAGTTGTTTCTTTTCAACCAGTGATGAGTGAAATACACTCATTCGTAATTGTGACCCAGAGGTTGCAGCAGGATCCCTCGTTTCTGAGGTTCTCTGAGTGAGGTGTACAAAGGACAACTCATGTTATAATTGGCTCGATAATCGACGTTGCCGTACACCTCCTTGACAGAACAAACTACTCACGGGGTTTCTGGAAACTATTTGACAGTCTTCTACTGGTTTCGCCCTTCTCAGAAGCTAGGCGGCGTACCGGAGTTTCCACGACCGTAATGGTCTGCTTGAGCACAACGTAGTATGCAACTGGCATATTACACTCATCTGAGAGCTGAGTTATTGTCAACGGGGTAGAATCAGCTCTATTCCACTCCAACCTCTCACTAATTGGAAGTCAGATATCACATCCATCTGATGTGCGCCAGGTAGAGCGGAAATGATATGGACTTTTTTCAACGCACTAGTGAAGGATCTCCTACTTAAACTTCAGGGGACAAAGTTTTTGTCTTTGAGTGCTGTGACATTGTTCTGAAACGAGGATTTTATGGTACAGTAACCACTCTTACACGGATTTTTCCACGGGTATTATGTGTACACGCTGTTCCCACTTCCCGGAAAGCCTTGGTGTAAGCCTGACTGTCAAGAAAGGAATAATTGTGAAGTTTTCCGAGTATCTTACAACAAGGGTGACCAATATGAAAAACGACCTGAACAGATCAATTTTCGTTCCTCCACATCGTGAAAAAATGATACATTACAGGTGTACTCTGATTGATTTACAGCAGCAGCTGAACACAAATGGCACAAGTTATTCTGACACGTCAGAATATCGGATCGTCTTACCTTGTTTGAAATGAGGTCAGCCAAGGAAAAACTGATCAATCGGATTTGTTCAGTTTTGCTTAAATTTTTTTCTGAGGGAACAATCTAGATATGAGGCCAGCCAAATTGAAATTATTTGGCATGGATACAGATTTCAAATGTCAATTGTACAGACCGACAATCTTTTTGTAACAATGCTGGAAGATAACGCAGATCAGAGTTGTCAGGCTTCGTTGAGATGGTAATAGTAGAAAAAAAACATTTTTTCAACATACGCCCGTAAAACATGGTGTACTTGAAACCGAACCGAACAACTGCATACGTGGCAGAAGTAACGTTCAGTTCTAATGTAACTGGGGTGGAAGTTTATCATGGCTGAGCCCCAAAGTCTGACTTTTTAACCACGTCCTGTCATGCGTATGTGCTTAAGCAAGGGATTCCGTTGAAATTCACTCGAATCTCAAAACTGAACCGAATCAGTGCGCCAATGAGTGTATTCAGCTAATTTCAGCACAAATAGAACATACTATTGACGGAAACTGCAACTGTGCCTACCTAATGAGACCCAAGAATGGCGAAACCAGTCATGGGTCACCGAGTAATTTTCAGCGACCTTGTGAGTAGTTTTTTCTCGAAGACTGACATTATTCTTTTTCGAATGTGTGTGTATGTGTGTGTGCAGACTTGTGACGTTGAACGAACGATTTTGGAAACCGGCAAACAGAAAACTATGAAATACAATCAAACAGAAAAAGAAGAAGTTGAAAATGTATAAGGCTTTCCACTCCTGCCAGCAGATAGTGCGCATTGTGACCTGCGCTAACGAATGGATTAGTTTCGTCCGAATCTCATCTTATTTCAAGCTACTTTGCCTCTACCAAATGATGGCAGTACATAGAAGCATTGGGCCAAATAAAAGTTGGCCGGAGATGCTAGTTTAGCCTCTCAATTGAATCGTTTTCTGCGCTTGCCCCAGACAGTGCCCTTTGGATTTCGTAAGCTTAAGACTAAAATACGGCTAAATATGGATCAGTCACTATTTTTCTTATCTAATTTTTAACCCTGAAACTATAACTCTACTTGATGAAAGTTAGATTTTTCTGCCATTTTCATTTTACTGCGCATCATTTCTCAGTCAAATCGGTTAGTTTCTACGGGTTTTGGGAAGTCATGGAGGTCCGTTTTAATCATATAATTTCGTGCTAAGGAACGCACCCACCAGGGTGAGCAGTAATCCGAAATGGCTGCCAAAGTAGGCGGATGTTTTTATTCACGACAGTTTGTACCGATAGAACTCGCCTCAATTAGCATCGCCTTACTGGATGCTAGCATTTGGTGTGTTCGATTATGTAACAGAAGTATGGTTGAAAGCCTGGAGCCAAATGAATCACCCGTGATCAGCAAGTGCTGTGCAAATGGTGACTCTGAGTTTTGAGTTACGGGGGACAACCAGGTATTCGTCCTGTCAACACTTATGTCGGATATCTGGTATGCATCCAACTGTGCTTTTAGAATGAATGATGTTATCTTCTGTAAAATTAGGTATCATAGAAACTGCGGCTCAGCTAACAAATGGTATGGACTGCAGAAAGATGTGTTCTCTGAGACTGATCAGTTTGAAGTCCCAGAAATGGGTTAGAATGAGTAATTCTAACTTGTACTGCCAGAATAGTGTGGTCCGTAGCGACCAATAGTTGTTTGATATTCGCCATTATGAAGCCATTTTAAGCTGTGACTAAATGAAGACCATTTTCTACTGGAGAGTAGCAACCAGAAGAGATTTTCTCTTTTGCGGAATTTTTATTCGAGGAAGACAATTTTGGTGGTCAACTCCTGCTTCGGTTTATTCCTTGAAGTTTCACGGTTTGTACAATTCATCAAGAAAGCAATTGTCTCTCGTCCTGCGTCTTAATTGACTAAAGAACTCTTATTAGCTTGATAATGTGGCATTGACTACTCATCAGTTTGTAAGCTAGCACCAGTGTTTTTATGAGTCACACACAAGGTAAGTGAAGCTGTAGAGAAAGGTAGAGGGACTGTATGGAAGACAACTCCGAATTGCGGCTTTTCTTGGATGGGTGTAAATTCTGGCAAGGGTCAAATAGCTGCGGACACCAGAGGTATCGATCATATGGCAACAAGTTCCCGTGGTCCTTAATGCGCAAAATGCGCATATAAAGCGCACAGTTATCTGCGTAAAGTTAATGCTTCTTTATGGCGACAAGGTTTACCTAAGGCTAAAGGCAGGTTAGGAAATTCCTCGAGGCAGCTTGAACCACATTGTCCCCTGCTTGGCTATTTTTTGCGAATTTCTCACTACTGGCAATTTACTAGTAGCTCAATGTCATGCGCAAAATCACACTCTCTGTTGACTTGATTCCCTTCTGCTTTCTCTCGTCTAGTCTTTGTACACTGCAAGATGCCGGAACCGCTAACTGCCTAAATATGTGCTGTGGACGTGGATACAAGAATGTCACGACACTGGAGATCGCCGATTGTAACTGTCGTATGGGTGAAGGATTCAAGGTCAAATGTGACGAGTGTCGAAGGGAGAAAGTCACACAAAGATGTCTTTGAGATGTGGTTCACTGAAGAATTCCTAGTCATTAATACCACGCCGTTACCTCACGCGTGCAATATCAAAGTTGTATCCAAACACCGGATCTCAAATTTTGAATGTACAATGGTTTATGGTTTATTTCGCCCAATCGATGATTTATTCAAGAGTACCCAGCATCGAATCATCATATTCCATGGAAGGATTAGACGACCATCTGTACGCAGATGTACCAGTACGTCCCCGTACAGAACTGTACATACACAACTTTTAGTCATTATTTCGGATTCTGCAGAGCCAAGCACCTCACCTTCTTTGTTGAAAGCATGCGTCCAGGATGATATTCTTGAATTTTCAATTTGATAATAAGAAACCAAGTATGTACCCATGTAAACAACCTCTTCACTTGTTACTTAAAGACTACTAATGAACTGATGCTTGTATGGGGCTTGGAGGGGTGGTAGAGTGGAACGGTCAAAGTCAAAGGAGTGCTGACGTATGCCCCACAAACTTCTCCTGAGAGAAATGAATGAAAGAAAACTTTGGTATAATGAGATACTACACCTAAATTGAACCAACGCGACTGCTGTCTGGAACGGGTGAACCTGATCTCACACCGATAAGAGATGGCAAAATCTTGTTTCAAGTTTCTTAAATTTGATGAGTTGATCTAATGAATGTGATTTTTTGAGAGACTACTCGAGAGAACAGACTAGAAGTAATCACTTAGGTGTATCCATCCATCTGAGTTTCAACTATGGTACCGGGACACTTTAGTTTTGTTTTACATATTTTTTGGAATAACCCTTTCTTTCCGAAAATGTTTATGCTTTAAACAAATTGTTGGAGTCAGCCACACAACTACAGTGGCTAAATATTCACTGTCTGGCGGCCTAATTCTTTTCGGCACATATTAAATTAAATAACTTTCCACCGTACATTGCGACAATTCGGTACGTGCGGTATTCCGGTACACAGGATAGAAAATTAAGCCGAAATCATAGCTCACTTTCAAACCATGGCAGTAAAATTCACACCAGTTAAGAACTCCAATTAGGCTGCACTTATCAGGACCAGTCAAGTAGGTCTTCTGATGAAGACATGAAATTTTATGCTCACGAAGTTATTTCGTCTCAGATGAGGATTGTAAACACGGAAACCTTTGTTGCATTTTGCCCCGAAGCCCTTCAGTAGGTGAGGAAGTGCGATTCACAACGTTGTCGGTAATATAGATCATCGGAATTCTCCTGCGTACCCCCAGAAACTGGACATATAGAGTAAGCGATCAGCTTACTCCACCTATCACTAGAAACTCGCGGTGGATTCTCAAGTAGTATATCAGGTGGCTTGACGTATCTACAAAATGTTATTATTACGACTCTCTATGTTGGTGCAAAGCACTCGGTATTCTTGCCTTGTTTGTTTATCCATGCTATACGCAAAATGTGTGGTCATAATCCCACTCGATTCAAAACCTCTTATATGTGCAATCTTTGGAAATAAAGCTATTTTAAGCACTCCCTGATGAACAGAAATGCAGAGTATGCTTAATTTCCCCAACAGATGCATCCGAACATGAATCAGATAGTGGCGAAATATTCGAACTTTCTACGGATTTGGAAACACAGTGTATATTCTGGGCCAAACAAGGTCCCCAATTCGTTCCATTAAAATGTGGTATTCAGTAGTCTTGCTCTGTTCCAACGAGTTACAAATGCCTGTGTTCACATAGACAGCTGCCCGATATCCGGTGAAATGGCTGACTGTGAGGACAAAGGAAATGAATGCGGAAATTCAGCAAAGGTGCAGAGAACAAAACCCAGTGTTCGAAGGCGAATGGAAGTGTGCTATTTATGGACCATATTCTTGATGCAGACACCACTATTAAGGCTAGTTTCAATTCTTTTGGCAAGTACCACTGAATAATATTGACTGATGAAAGATTTTCATTGAGTCCTGAGATTCGAGAGCGTTTTGAGAGGATAAATATAGTTTCATGACGCACTGTTGAACTGTTTGGTATAATCACAGTAAACGTGCACCATACGTAAAAAGTGTGCGGTAAACGTGTACCGATAACGGATGTATGAAAAGGCGTAGCGGACAAATTTTCAGGCAAATACTCACTTGTAGTTTAGCTTGTTAGTAACACGTAGATATCAGCTGAATATCTTGCTTTCGGTGCAATTAAGCTGAATTTGATGCACAAAAGGCTAATCTGTGTTTCGGTTGAGTCATTATTCAAGCAACCAAAGTAGTTTTCTTGTCAGGGATTTCCCCATTACGGTCATGCAGACAGGATGATATCGACAACTATCGCTTCTGTTCTGTTGAGGGTCCGCCATGTGCTTATTCGTGTCAGCTTTCCAGAGAACCATGAGGAATCAGCAGCTGTGTCATGAACATAAAGGAGTACTGGTTATTCCGTCTCCGGTTCCGCGGTCTGCGTGGAAAATCTCGGCAAAAACCTTTCGGTTTTCAGCTGTTATCTCGTTCGCTAGCACCATCCTGTATAAGAAGCTCAACAAAGGACAAACTTGCGACCTCTTTGTCATATCTGTGTCAAAACTACTGTGGATACTGCTCATGAGCAAATATGGGAAGTGTGAGACTGTTCTAACATGCCTTTGGATATTTACAGTACAGGATATACGTCTGTGATACGATATTTAGGGGCTGTGCTATCCCGATTACTTCTCCAGGTGATTAGTATTTCTGGCTTTGTTGGTCACACCTACAAATTTTTTTAATGAGTAATGTGCATGTTTCATAAGAGAGGCATTATAAATTCAAGTATTTTTCGCTTTTGTCTGCACAGCTTAAGATGTCAACGTTTGTCTTCTACAGCGATTACCATGCAACACCTTCAAAGCTAAAATTCATCTGGCGAACAGCATGCCGAGTGATTCCATCTGACCCATGTAGCCTGGTCAGGCATAGTACATGAAGGCACCCGTGAAGTTCAAACGAAGTAAAATTTTTCTGAATGCAGGTTGAGGGCATAAGGACTGTTTTGGGTGAATTACTTATGCTAGTGAGCATACACCCGGATCGTTACCCTTCATGACAAAACACTGTGTGTACTTATCATTTGAACCGTTGCACTAAGACACGATTTTCGGGGATCTATATTTCGTTAATAAAGCTAAGAGAAAGAGAAACATCGGGCTTTAAGCCCAGAGTGAAGATAAGTAAAATTCCACACAGACACATCTGATTTAGCACCAGCTCCATCTAAAGGAGTCATGTTCCGAGTAAACGAAACTCGCGCATTCTTCGCACCACGAAATTGCATCCTATCATGTTAAAAAAGTAAGTTGCTTAACCATAACACCCCACCGGTAATAATTTCAATTCCTTCAAGGTATAAGAAATACGGTTCTCTATTGATATATCAGAATACGGTTCCTGATCGATGTGAGGAGGAACCAATCAAAGTTAGATCCAGAGACGAAAGTTTGTGCATTTGTATGTTTGGAATATCCTCCTGCTAACTACAGCTCTAAGGATTACTTGGCTTTGTCACTGTTGACCACTATCTCCCACTGAATCCTAACCATAAGGACAAAAATATCACTTCTCTTAGGAGTTTTTGACCGAATGTGGTTCTCCGTCTGTGACCTGATGTGAAAACAATCAGCTTGCACTTTATTATCACTGTGACCGCTGCAATCCCTCAAACTGTGGAAATCAGAAACCTTTGGTCAGAACAAGAACTAACTCACAGATCACCAACGTTACGGTTGCCAGTCAGCTGGAAGTTTAAGGATGAATGACACCTAGCAGCTACTTCTGTCGGAAAATTGGTACACATGTTGATTGGGATGCCTCATCCCTAGATCACATTCTAAGAAGAGACAGAAAATTTTAGCATCTAAATTCTCCTATGTACAAAATGGGCTTGCCGAGCTTTCCAAAGTTTCTGTGCTAAATTCCAACCTAAATATGGGTTATTTTTTTAGAAATTCTACATTGACTTTTCCTTATCTTTTAGAGCCAAACAACTCTTTGACACCCAATTAATGTTCTATTCCGTGCTCAAAGTTTCCCTTTGGCAACGTCAGTTCTCGACAGTCATTCAGGACAACGTGTTTTAAAGTGCATTTTGCTTCACGAAGCAAACTTCGATACACTATTCGGGAGGAACTTACTTGAAACTCAAATAGTTCCAGCAACTCGATTCGCATGGTGAACGCTCTCGAAAAGGAATAATCTCTTTGAGTTGAAATGACCGCCTGTTTTATTTATACTTACTTTTGTTTTGTATGCTGACCAGTAGCCCTACCAGAGGGTTACAATGGGATGGAACGACTAACATGAACGATCAGGCTGACAATGTCCTCATCTTTGTACTTCCAGTTAACTTTGGTGACCACAGAACGCGTGGATAGAAAAACTGCTCTGCTTCTAGAAGCATACAGCGGTAAGAAGTAATCGATAGCTTGGTAAGGTCGCCACTCAAACTTTCTCATACAAAACCAATGTGTGAATGAAAGATAGCCGCTTCTATGGTGTCTGTCAATTGATTCACGGCCACCCGTGTGCTTTGCTGCATAGCATCTGGACTGACGCCCTAGGAGCACTTTGACGGCAACGTACAAATTTTGTTTGCATGTGAACAAAACCGACGCCCTTGTAGCACCGTTCTGTAGGTCCGATTGCAATGTTTTGATCAATATGTGTGTATCGAACAGTGTGCGCAAAGTACTTTCAGACGAAATGCAATGTGAGTATTCTTGACCGTTTAAATTAAACCGAAGAAGCAATGAACTGGGGTCTTTATAACTAGTTTGCATCATTGATCGTTCTGGAATTCAACATAGGAACGCGGGACATTTGAAACAATTGTGCCAGAACGTTTACTAGTCTGGTTCGCAATCGCCAATGAAAAAACACTGGCTGCTGATACAGGGGTTCGGGATGTAGCTGGAAGTTAGCAAGAAGGGTGCAGTACGGCCTTATTGCGGCCTGCTGGATCAGCGTAAATAGAATCCATCTGACGTTACCTTGGTCATTGTTCTTGTGGGTTTGAATGAAGGCACAGTCCACCGTGTAGTTCACTAAATTTGAGTTGGAGCGCGTGACTTCTGATTTAACTAGTTCACGGGGGACCTTTCAAGATGAGTGATGACTAATCATACGAACAGGCGGTGGATACGTTAGTAACCAGCTTGTTGTGGCCGAGTTAAGCACTAGCGGTTTCAATGTTACATGTTGTAAAACCTTATTGGAGGTTGTGTGGCATTCAAATCTAAAGCCTGATATTACCAGTCAGTGACCCTTGACAATTCTTTCTCTCCTCCCCTGAAGCATCGTAATGGGAGTGAACGGCTCCATGTGCTTATAGCAACCAATACAGCTGATGAGATATCTCACTGGTTAATGCATAATTTTACTGACCTGAAGGAACG